AAAATAAAATAAAATAAAATAAAATAAAATAAAATAAAATAAAATAACATAAAATAAAATAAAATAAAATAAAATAAAATAAAATAAAATAAAATAAAATAAAATAAAGTAAAATAAAATAAAATAAAATAAAATAAAATAAAATAAAATAATATAAGGTATATAAAGAAAAATAAGTTATATAAGTCCAACCAAATCCACCAAAAATTGTTGGCAACTTTTCGAGCCGAGGATCGAGCCTGGGTACTACGGAATTATAGTACGCAGCTATCATCACTCAGCTACCGCGGACGCCAAACTCGCTAGCTTTGTTTGCTAACATTCACAATGGACAACAGTTGGCCATACCTAAAAAAAGCGTCTGCGTTGTCTGGCTGTCAAAAAATTCTCATGCCCATACAATTTGTATGAAGCATACCGAAACAACGCGGCGTCAACGCTGAACGGTTGGAAACTCCGATTTTGACAGGGTGTTAGGTGATGAAGTTGGCTGCAGAAAACGGCGAAACTGTCATTTTCGTATTTCATACAAACAAAAATATGCCTATGGTTTTTGCTATTTCTGCATCATGAAAAATTTAAAGAAGGAGCAGGCGTGCCAGTGGTGGATATCATGTCTGACTCACATGGTTTTCATAGTAGAATACACTCGGAGGTTTCCCATGCCCTGTCCAGGGGCGACCGCTATTTAAAAAAGCAGTTTGGTATTTTTTGATGTTAGGTTGAACCGGGATTGAACACGGGCCCTTCGGAATTGTAGCGTGCAATCCACTACACCACAGCGGCCGCTTTAGATCTTCAGTAAAAATCCTTACCAACGTTCCAACAATAACGAATTCTCTTTGCAAAATCTGCTGCTTTATTAATCAGTGATAGTAAACTTACCATTTTTTTGCAGCCGAAGTGGTTCAAACACCAGGAGACACGCTTCGGACTAGCAGGGATGACGCAGATGGAACCCCTGGACCTTATTATCTATATTGGTACGAGCTTTATTTAATATCCAACCTTGCCATTAAAATTTATTTACGTCATTTCAAGGCCTTGTGTTATCCTGTATAATAATTTTTTTAATAACTATGTATTAAGGCGAAATTTACGATAATGTCAATAATTTTTTACTTTTATTTTATTTTATTCATTTTCAATTCAATTCAATTCGTTAAGTCGATAATATATAACATGGTCACGCAATCGAAAATTTTTCTGCGAGCAAATTACAATCCTTCAAGGTTAAGCTCAGGGTATATATTTAATTTTTTAAAACTTAACTTTAAACTTATAAAAAATATTAAATTTTTCTTTTATATAAATAGTTGTATTTTGTTATAAATTATGTGTACACATGTATGTATAATAAATTTAATATTTATCAAAAACATTTAAAGGCTTCTTTTAACAAAAACATAATGCCGAATTTCCACTAAGTATTGATAAGGCAAAAACTATGTGCCATTCAAAATAGGCAATGTAAATGCAATTAAAGTAATGGCACATGTATGCCTTAATGCCGAACTTTGTTAGTAAAATTTTCGCTCTTTAATGCCCAGTGGAAACTGGCATAGTACTTAAAATTGATTATTTATTGTATTTCTATAAGTGATCATCTGTTAGTTATTTATTTAAGACAGCTTCTTGTGATTGACGTTATTGACATTTATTTAATGCAGATTTGATTGCAACGATATTTTCATGTTTTTAATATAAATAAATAAATCGTCATATTGTTCACATAATTCAATGAAATAGCAAATATATATTTATGTACATATTTTTATTGGCTTTTTCAAAATACCCGCATTTTTTATTTTTAATTGATTCGAAAGCATTTTTAAATGCATTGGATTTCTTTAAAACTGTTGTTAACATGCATTTTGGAATTTTCGTTATATTTATTGACATATGTATGTATGTAAATTCATATAAACATTTATATAATTATTATAAAGCTCCAACTATTATAAAATTTATTAGATCGTTTTATGCATTGGACATAACCAAAAATATAAATGGGCATTGTTTTTAAGGTTTCGGCAACAGCAGTATGCCGAAAAAGTAAGCGTTTGTTACTTACTTAAATGCACAGTATTCAGTAAGCATAGCTGCTTATTTGTGTATTTGAATAAACTTTAAACCACACTTACATTTGTATGTATTTAAAAAATATAGAGTAAAAGTTGTATCGTACAGTTAGTTAAATTTTTTTTCATTCCCTTTTCGTATTTGTCAGTACATTTATTTTTATCAAAAGCTAAATACTACATACATATGTCTATTTACAGTCAGCTTCAAAAATATGAATACCCTGACGTTTTGACGATTTTATTTATTTATATTTTCCATACCAAATTTTTCTTATTTTTTTATATAAAAATATAGGTCATTCAACAGCCAACACCAGCAGAATCAATTTTTTCGATTCCGTATATAATTGGGGAAAATTCAAGCAATATTAACAAATTTGAATCGAAATCAAAGGTGTAAGTTTCAAGTCTCCAAAAATTACCGTTGATTTTTGATTTTTTTTTTTACAAGGGCATTGCGCACTTTCTACCGTATAACGTTAGAACAAAATCTATTTGGAAAATTGCACCTTATTAAAATATAATGGGCTACAAAACTGTATACTCTGAATTTTTTTTAAGAAATCGATTTGAAAATTGTTTGGGTTTTCTTCAACTTTCCCTAGTTTTATATGGAATTAAAAAAAAATACTCTGCTGGCTTTTTCTTTTACTTTTATAAACAAAAAAAAAAGAAAATTTTGGTATGGAAAATATTTCATATTTTTGACGCTGACTGTATATATTAAATCGGCTATCGTCAATTAAGAATAATTTAAAAACTTTCATTTAAATAAAACGGACAGCCATTAAAATTCATCGTCGTTATTAATGCAAAACGGGCCAATCTAAAGCTGCCTTTACATGAGGTGATTTTTTGACTGGCGAAAACATATTGCACGCAGCAACACCGACTTGACTTGTCAGCATTTTTACAGAATGTAAAATTCCTAGTGCAGCACAAGCGAAATGTTGGTACTGGTAAGCGGTATTTCATTTTCAAATTTTCTGCGTTAAGAAACTGCTTTCATTGCAACGTCTGACCGTACTTTAAAGATCGTAAAATAACCAGAGTGCAATGATTAACAAAAAAAAAAGAAAACAATTTCGCTAGCTATATTTATTTTAGAAATTAGGATCACAAAAATACCTACGATTTTACAGTGCTCTAAAAAATAAAAATCATGGTACGTAATGGTTATTTTCCTGTATGCATGCATTCATGGGCCACAAGTAATCGCTAATTTGAATTGTGGTTCCTTCGATAATTTTTAATAGTAATAGTTAAGATAAATTTTTCCGATAATATTTGTATTCTAATGACTGCCCTATGATGCTTCCGAAGCGAAATTTTATATCTCAAAGTAACGGTTATAATTTAAAAAAATGCATAAGTATTTTTAGATCACAATTCAGATACATTTCTTTTCGATAATATTTGCATTCTGATGACTGATTTAAATATGATCCTTCACGGTCGAAAACTTATATCTCAAAATAAATGCAAAATAAGGATTTTTAGATCACAAAATAACGATATTACTAATTTTTCTTCAGGTCATAAAAATCGATTTTTTATTTCAATTTTAGTCGATTCGAAATTTTCTTATTTAAAAGCAATCTGGAGAGGCTCTTCAAAGGCACCAACTTTCGCATATACATATATATATGTATACACGCATATGGAGAGTATACTGGTTGTTGTTTTAATGAAAGTAAAAATTTCTTTATTGCTATTTTGAGCTTTAAAATACTTTAAACGTACGCTTTTTGAAATGCTGGAGTTTTTTCTATCATATAGCCTGGTAGACGATGGACCAATTTCAATGGCGGCGCAAATAAATAGTGTTATATATATATTTTTTATTTTATATATATATATTTTTTTTTTGAAAACAGCTTAATTTTTAATTCGCGTTTTCATTATGCAATTTTTTTTTAATTAAATCTGAATGTTCAGTTAGATAATTTTTTTAATATACATAATTCATTCCTAATTTGAAGTTTAATCTTTAGAATCATCTGAATTAGCATCAACGGCAACAAGGCAAGTAATGAATTTCCAAAAATCACCACCTATTTCAAGCTTTTTTCATTTATAAACCAAATTTATCTTCTTGACTGCTGGGAAAATATGTATTCATTAAATTTGAATGCAAACTTTCCACATCGGATAGCTTAGAATAAGTTTTGTTATATCTTAGATATAATTCATACTTATGAAAATCACATACAACTATTTTTTATTAAAACTAAAAAAAAAAAATACAAATGTTTTTATAAAACATATAAAAAGCTGCTGTTAGTTTAGTGAGCAATTTGTCTCCTCTCGCGAATCCTTTCAATAAAAAGAACGCCTATGATCGTTGCGTATACTGTTGCATAGACAGCATGAGACCACGCTACCAATTAACTGTAAAATATAAATAAAATGAAAAATTATTTTTAATACAAAAATTGCATGTCAAATTGTTTATAATTATTAACCTCTAAAGCAATCATTACACAGGCGATTATATTGAAGACACGCAACAAGCTGAGCCAGTAGTTCTCAAACTGTATGCGACAACCGGTGGCAATAAGATTCTCACTCTTCGTTGCGTCGTTCTGCTTGAAGCAGGTGCTGGGCGGCAAGCGATCGTTGACAATGTAATCGTGGGGACTGGCGCGTCCGCAGCATTCAAACTGGCAAAGATCAAAATAAAGGAAATTTTTAATATAAACGAAGCCAGGAAATTTTAAATATTTATAAATAAATAATATTCCAAATAGAGAGCTCTAACCCTTCATTCTTACAACATGGTTAGATATTTGGAGTGATATGCACAGCAACTTAATGGATATATTGGACCTCACGCATAAAAAGTGAGCTTAAGCTCCGCTTCGATTTTTAGTAAAATTTCTTGAGCTTGAGCTCACTCCATCAGTGCAAAAATTGAGTCTGAGCTTAAGATCACTTATTATGCACGAGGCCCATTATGTTCTCCGCTCCTTGACTATTTTCGAACTGAAACCATCCCACTCAATAAAACAAGTACGGTAGCATCCATTTGCCAACAGAGATCACCATCAATTTGCCATATTTTCTTTGACCTTATTTGAGTGATCACTTCAAGTAGATAAAACAATGGCCACTTTTAAACATTACAACACTCTCGTATCCAACAAATGTTGGAACAATCTTTCGTCCTGTGCAAGTTCAAGGAATATAGCAACCCTCCTTTCTGAAAATTAAAGATGAAAGGTGAACCAATAGTTCTAAGGAGACATTAGGACTTCTTCTTCGTACCCATTTTTAAGGTTGTGACCTAAATCAGGTCTTGGCGGTAGATAACAACGTAGCGGCACCATTCATAAATGTCGATAACGGACGGGATCTTTCCAGCAATGCGACAGGAGGCCCAATCGTGGGTTATTCCATCGCTGGAGAGCATATTCAAACCAAGTATAATGCTCAACTATGTTCCTTCAACTTGGCAAAGTGGTAATCTGTCCTTCGCTTCTCTTCAAGATAAACTTTGGCAAGGTGTTTCCTCCAAGAAGGAGCCTATTTTTACTGAACGCTTTGAAGTATCGATTTTTGCGGACGGCTCAAAAATAGTGTTTTTCAGGCAGAGTTCTTTGCCATCAATGAGGCCTGCAATATAATTTTAGCCTCGAAGCTAGCCGGGGCCAGCATTGCTATTTTCTAGGAAAGCCAAGCAGCGGTCATGGCACTTGACTCTGTAAGCATCACAGCCAGCCTAATAAAAAAAGTGCAGGGAGAGCGTTACGTCTTTAGCTGACAGGCATGTCGTTGCACTGCACGGGGCACAGCAGAATTCATGGCAATAAAAATACCGACGAGCTAGCCAGGAACGAATCGGCTCTGGATGTCTCAGAGGCAAAGTAGGTCTTGGAAAGGGAACGCAACGCACGTCTTCACAGACGGTTCTAAAATGGACGAAGGAGTAGGGGCTCAGTATATTTCACAGAACCAATAATTCATAGGTCCTTTGGGCTACCAGATCACTGCAGTATCTATCAAGCTGAGGTTTTTGCAGTAAAGGAAGCGGCAGAGATATTGCATGAAAATAACCCAACAAACGAGCAAATTAACAACTACATAGGTGGGTAGGCGGCCATTAAGGCTCTACTTTCATATGAAACAAAATTCGATCACCGTCGCGGACTCTAAGGAGGCTATAAGAAGGCTAGCTGTGGCTAAAACTGTCCACCTATATTGGGTCCCAAGACACAAAGTGTGTGGAAGGTAATGGGAGCGCTGACGAGCTAGCCAAGAAGGGCGTTCTCTTGGGGAAATCAAAAGATTACAAGATCTGCTCATTACCCCCAAGCGAGGAGCCTTTGGCAAAAAAAATCAGCGTTGCAGACTTTTAGAAATTATGTGTAATTCAAACGACAGAAAAGTTTCTAATTTCCTATATCAACAAGAAGAACAGACTCGAGGCTCCTGATAGGATTGCTAACAAGACATTACTTGGTAAGAGCACATGCATCTAAACTAGGTCTAATGGAGGATAGAAAATGTAGGAAATGTAATTATCACGAGAAAACCGTGGAGCATATAATTTGCGAGTGTCCAGCCTTCAGCAGCCAAAGACTCGCGTTACTCGGAAAGGTACAGAGCCTGCAAGCAGCTATAGCAAAGGACCAAAGTGTCTATTAAAAGGAGCGGCAGTGCTCTTTAACATTGCGCGAAAGCATTGACTCATAGGTCGTAAACGCATCTGGCAACGCTATGGACGTTATATTCGTCTATTTGAAATCAGGCAACTTATTGATGAGAAGCGGGTAAAGAGGGTATCAGCAGCTGTTCGTGTATACAGAGGGTATTACGCCACCGACTTCGTACTGAATCTTTATGTAAAATCGTAGCCTTAAACATAACGTTTACAATTGTCGCGTGGTATGTGCAGGTCAAAGAGATTACGAGATCCCCAAAAACGGCATATGCAATTATCGTTGCTATAGTATGTTGCTCGGAAATGATTTTTTAAGTACGCTGCAAATTGGAAATGAAAGAAAACAAAAAATGTGGGAAATTTAATTTTCCAAAAGAAACAATGAAGCAAGTAATCTTCGAATGCCCAGCCTTAGGCAGAAGAAGGCTCATAAAACTCGATAAAGATCATCTGCAGGGCCTGCATCTTGCAATCGATAAAGGACCGAAGGAGCTACTAAAATTTTTCTTCGCATCTTTAAGCACTTTAAATCCTTAGCTTTATTCTCAGATTTTCTTCTAAGCATTAAATTGTAATGTTTTAATATTTATGTATAGTTGTATTTATGCTACACTTGTCACTTACCCAATTCTCATATTGCGACATTGCACCAGGGCTTGTCAGCTCTTCCTCCCACGCCTTGTCCACGGCATTCGAGAGATGCGAAGCTACAGTACTTTCACCTTTTATTAAAAGAAATGCGACAGCTATTTGGGCGATTATCACAATCCAGAGCAGTGTAATAAACTGTGTATATAAAATGAATGAATACATGAAAAATTGTTTGATTTAAATTAAGGATACATATGTACATAAATACATATCAGCTTTATATATACATACATTCACACAAAAATATGTACATAACAATGCTGACTAAGCGGTTAGTTTTTTAAACTTCGTTTTGCATTTTCAATAAAAGATATATAGTATGTACTTTTATTCAATTATTCGGTAAACAAGTATGTATAAATAAATATTTACTCAAGTGCAGATATGCATTCATTTATTTGCTCTTGCGCTCACCGTCACTGTACAACAAACGCTTTCGCGTACTGCACCCAATAGCCCCAATAGGAATATTACAACTGTGGCTACGCCTAATCCTATGTAGGCATAGGCAGCCATGGCACCGACTTCACTTACATCGTAGGAACATAGCACAAAAATGCCGAAGGCTATGAGCACCAAAGCAAGCAGCTGAAAGAAAAAAAGAGTAATTTGATTAGTGTCATTGCTATGGATATCATATTTAACTAAAATAAAAATGCAAACTAAAGCATTGCAATCTTTAAACAATTGCATTTACATAAGTAAATAAAAAAAAGAATAAATATATGTAACTTTGTTAAGTAATCAAAAATGTTTGTTAAAATTTTTCCACGAAGGACCTAAGTTGTGTTTATGGAAGCATTCCTCCAATCACATATGGACATATTCTAATCTTTTGACGAATTCCAGAAGTGATCGCTAGGGTGCCCACCGAAAATGCTTTTTTGAAAATTTCAAGACCCTACACCCTAATTTTATTTGTTTTTATGAGAAATGTTATTTCCTATTTTTCTACATTTTTTAAAGGTCATTTAGAGGTCACGACCTGTCGATTTAGGTCAGAAAATACGATTTTGTAGATTTATGAGTTTTTGAATGACTATTTCTATCGATAGTATTCCATATTTTGAAATTGTTGCAATTATAGATGGTCAAAATTTAAAAAATTAAGAGAAATATGGGTCATTTTTAAATTTACCCGACAAAAAATCCCAACAAGCCTAGTCCGACTATAGATTATTATACACCGTTTTAAAGGCCTATATATCCGCTTCTCAGATCATATTCGATATTTGAAATCGAATCAAAAATACTCATTCAAAAACCCATAAATCTACAAAATCCTGTTTTCTGACCTCTAAATGGCCTTTAACAAAATTTAGAAATTTAGGAAATAATATTTCTCATAAAAACAAATAAAATTAGGAGGTAGGGTCTTGAAATTTCAAAAAAAAAATCATTTTCGAGAGGCACCCTAATGTATATATATATTTGTACATACTCTGTTGGGAAAGCTACTAGTTGGGAATTAGAATTCTACCAGTTAGCTTTCAGCACAATCGCGATGTCCTACGAAATGGTTCATTCTCAGGCTATGCATCAGCACCTACTAATAGAAATACTAGTAGCCTCATACCACATAACGGGGGTAGAATGCCGATTCATACCCCGTAAAAGGAATAAGTACGTAGTTTTACTCGTGGCATTTCAACAGTCGTAGTTGCCAACAGAGCAAAGTACTAGCGAGCCATTCCAGGGGGTTCGAATACTCGGACAGCGAAATTGTGTTTATCTTTTATTCATGTTAACTTTTATTTTTTAAAAGGCCAAGTAACCTTAAAAATTTCATTTAATTTTTATTGCAAAAGTATTTATTTACGTTTGTACACAGATAAAATTAGATTTCAAAATGTATAGTTTGTATTTAAATAGAAATAATTTGCATTAGGTTTGTTCCACAAAGCAACCCAGAAAGCGTTCCTCACGCTAGAAAAATGGGTAACAGATAGCGAATACATTCCACTATTGGATGTCTTCTTCTTCGTGCCCGAAATAGCGCGGACTTTTCCGAGTACAAATGTGCAAATTCAAATTAACATAACAGCTGTTGTTTGTTTACATCCGAAAGCAAATTTTATATAAAAACCAAAAATGGAAAATACGACTAGAGTTTCAAAAAATGTAGGTATTTTGCTAATTTTATTCGCCGTATTAGGTAAATACAAATAAAATCACTGCTTTTCAGCTGATTTGTGTTTTTTTTTTTTTTAATTTTGACACTTGTGAGAGAGGAACGTGTTTTTTTTACTCTCTAATTACCGAAGCAGCTCGGAAAGCGTGTGGATTTCAGTTCAAAAATCTTAACCGCCCGTCCAGGCAGATCTTAGACTGCCGGCATTTGTTAGAAAAGCAATTACAGCGAAACTTCGGTATGACGAAGTTGAGAGGTTGGCCAAATGCTTAGAAAGAAATTCGTTATAAGTGAAGTTTGGTTTTTTATAACGGGACTCTAATCGTCAACATGTTCGGTATTCGTTATGCAGAGGCTTATGAATCGAGACTTCAATATACATATATGTAGAGGCTTTTTCCAACGGTGCTGTAACTATTTTCGTGCTCAAATTTTTTTAACGGAAAATTTCGCAAAAACCAAGATTTTCAGAGGTCTCGGCAAAAATTTTGTTATACATTTTGCATTTTTCGTTTTATCAAGGTTCATTTTGTCGAGATTTCACTGTACTTGCGTTTTATTTTTCTATTTGATATTTTAAAGGCAGATGTCGCTGACCGGACAAGTGGTTCTAAATTCTCAAACTGTTGGCCATCGCTGAAGCTCATACTAGTCCACCAACTGGGATTTTTTTCTGACTGGTTGAGCTTTTTACTAACGGGTACTTCTGTACGTAGTAACTTTATTAATACGACTAACTTTGCGTGGGAAAACAACAATAGAAATAATAGTTGAGAGCATTACTTGCCAAGGCGCCAATTAAGTCGGACAAAGTGGCGTCATGCGACTATATACAAACATACATACACACATAAATGAACTAAATATGTATTACAAAAAGCAAAGCAAAGAATTCCCATACAAAGTTACATTGTAAATATATTCTGCATTCAAGAGAAAAGCGTTGAAAGAAAGTTGGTAAGCAAACAGTTAACTGACTCATTGGTAAACCAAGCACAACAGACTTTAGTCATACATATAAACTACATACAAATGTATGTATGTATGTTTTTAGGTACACGTCTGCGTATGAAGTTGTTAGCTGTAGTATGTATGTAAATAAATGTCCACACGTGTTTTATTGACCTGATTTTCTATACTATTTGCGTATCTGGAAACACTTTAGTAGTTGAGCAGCATGGGTGGTAGGATATTGTATGTATATTGCGGCGTTTAAATTGCCGCCATACAGGCTCCAGTAAAATACTAAAAGAGTATGTATGGACGTCCAAATAGAAGAGCGAGCTATGGTGTGTCACAGTGCGTGCGACTTGGCAACACGAAAACAAATACAATGTATGAGTGGTACATAGAATGGCTGCGTAGAATTACTGTGATAAAAGTGGCTATCAAGCTTTTAGCCAAGGTCGCGACCGGTCGTAACTTTAACTTTGTAAAAATTACCTACATATATACATTATGTATATATGAACGAATCTATAGATTTTACAATGTAACTGATGTTCTACATATGTTACTATGACATTGTATATATGTATATAGCTATTATTTTCTCGGAGATATTTGTACAATTATTAAATAAAGCCAGCTCCACTTTATCAATAATACAATTAATGTCGGCTGGTTATTGTCATTCTAATGCCACTTTACTTAAATGATACCAAATACAGCGCGTGAAGGTAGGAATGACGAAATTTCGTTCCAATATAGATACATACATACAAACCAACCAATACCAACAAGCCCTCTAAGGCCTTCCTTCCCTAATAAGTGTTTTTGACCCTTATTTGAAGAGGTTGGTGGAAGACAGTAGTTAACGGGTTAAAACATTAAAAAAGTTTTTAGCTGTGGATTTCACTAAAAGTCATTTTTCTTTTATCCATTTAATGTTTATCATTTTTTTTATAAAAGTCTAGCACATTACCACGGTTGCCCCTTTGGTACAATTGTACCAAATAAGAGCCTTTTTTCTTCGTTTGGGCCTTCGGACCTTTTTTGTTTGTTCCCGGCCTTTTTGAAGCAACTATGGCTATCCGTTTGGCGTTGGCGAGAGCTGCAGCTGTTCTGTTAATTGTTATCGCCATACTTATCTCTAAATTTTCGCTGTGAATATGTGCATGCGTGCAATGTTCACTGTAATACATATGTACATATGTACAGTCAGTGTCAAATGTTAGTGCACACCTTGTTTTAATATAATATTCACAATTAATTTATTTTAAAAAAATTTTCGAAGCGAAACCTTTTTCAAATTAAATGAAACTTCCTTTTAAGAATATTTCACTGAATATGAAAAAAGGTTTCATTTAATTTGAAAAAGGTTTCGCTTTATCTGTAAAAGCTTTCGTTTAATTTGAAAATGGCGAAATGCTATATATCAAGGTTTCATACTTTATATAAAGTTCAAAAAAATTAAAAAAAAATTTATGAAAATTTCAAAATTTTTATTTTTTTCAGAATTTGCAAGTTTCTAGTCGCTTAAAGTTACCGTTGATTTTTTAGAATTTTTTTCTGGAGAGTGTTGCGCGTTTTCCTATATTTTGATAAAATTTTTCGAATTGTTATGAACTTTATATAAAGTGTGAAGCTTTGATCTATATGGTTTATATTAAAGAATGAACTATATTTTCATAAGTAGCACAGGTTTACAAAAAAAAAAGGTTCTGCATATTGAACCAAACTTCTAACCCGAGATCTGAAATCCGAATACGGGACCCCCGTTGATTCTTCAAATTTATCTAGAGATCATGCCAAGGTCATCTTAAGGTCAAATTCAGAAGAATTGTATTGAATTTTCAGGTTTTCAACGAATTTTTTGTAAGCTCTGTAATTAATGAAAAATATTTTTCATGGAAATAATTGTGAATATTATATTAGAGCACTAACATTTGACACTGCCTGCATATGCACAAATGCAAACAAATAGGTAGAGAAATTTTATTTCTTTACACAGATTGAGGATATTTTAATTTTTGTTAACGTTTAATATTATAAAAAAAAAATATAAATATATAGGTATATTTTTGATGGACGGCAAAAAATGGTACACTTCTGTGTTATTTTGGGCCTTTTTACTTGGATAATGTGGTACACAAAATTTTGATGAAGTGGCAACCGTGCATATTACATAACCAGAACCACATAAATCCACATTTCAAACTTCTTACAATAATTATAAAAATTCAAGAAACTTTCAAAAATAAACCCTAAAATTAAAAAAAAAAAAATTATTAAAATGTTTTAACCCACCAAATTTTAGTATGCTAAAGCTCAAATTTTGAAGCGCTAGAAAACCACGTTGATTTTTAATACTTTTTTTTGCTGGCGGTGCTAAGGGTTTACATATATGGGAGAAAAAAATATTAAAAATCAACGCGCTGTTCTAGCGTTTTAAAATTTGCATTTTCACATACTAAGATTTAATAAGCTACAAAGCAGCATAGCTAAAATTTTTCTA